ACACACACACACACACACACACACACACACACACACACACACACACATGCACACACAGACATCATCTTGGCATCCTGATGTAATAGGAAGGATATTCAGGGAACTTGGTATATAGATTCAGCTCTACAATGAACCATCTGTGTGGCCTTGGATAAGTCACCGACCTTCTCAGGGCCTTAGGGTACTCCTTTGTTAAAGCAGGGAGTTATTAGACAAGATCGGGGTTCTTCACCTTTTTGTATATCATGGATACACTTTGGCAGTCCAGTGAAGCCTATAGACCTTTTCTTGGAATGTTCTTAAATTCACCAAATATATAGAATTACAAAGGAAACCAATTATATTGAAATAGGTATAAAATTTTTTTTTTTTACATTCATGGACTTGCAGGAATCTGTGTTGTTTGACCATACATGTTTGTAATGAATTTTGTTCTTGCTTTCTCAATGGGGAAGGAGAAAGGGGTAGGGACCAGAAAGAATTCAGACCTGAAAATAAAACAAAATTAAATTTAGAAAATGTAAAAATAAAATTAAGTTAATGAGCCCCACTGGAGGAATTCTAAAGTCTTCTCTAGGGTAGCATTCTACTTTTTAGAGATTCTTTCCAGTTCTAACTTTCAGTGTTCTAAATCTCTTCTCAGCTCTAATATTCCACGGTCTAAGGTGCCTCCCAGTTCTAACATTCTTTGTCTTCCCCGTTCCAATATTCTCAGTTCTCAGAGTCCTCTATCTCTGACATTCTATGTTCTAAGATCCCAACCAGTTCTGGAATTCTGTGTTCTCACATTCTGTGTTCTGAGGCTCCTTCTAGCTCTGACATTCTATTTTCTGGGGTTATTCCCCATTCTCATAGTCTTTGTTCTTATGGGTCCATTTGGCTCTGACAGTCTATATTCTAATGCCCCTTCCATTGATATTCTATGTTCTAAGGTGCCTCCCAGCACTAGAAGTCTATAGACTTAACGTCATAAGTTCTAAGGCCCCTTCCAACACTGACACTGTATTCTAAGATCACTTCCAGCTCTGAAGTCAGCGTCCCTCCCAGATTCAACATCCTAGGAAGGTCTCCCCCAGCACTTCCACCTTATGAGTCTATAGACTGGCCCAAATCCTGCTTTCACAGAAAAGATTATTGCCCGAAACCCCAAAGATGGAAACCAAAAGTGTTTCTGGATTTAAAATCCAACTGTTCTTCAAGTTTTTTCTATGAACTTCACATTCATACAAGGCCAACATGTGAAAGAATAAAAAAATTCTGTTTAATTAGGTACTTTACTAAGCACCTAAATTGCATCCATTACAGATTTCCCTTCCTGCCCTCCCATCCCCACCACTGTCCATCCCATAGTGCTATTTCCTCTATGAATACTCAAAATAGAGTTTAATCTAAAAAAATCAAAGGAGAGGAAAGAAGCAACCAGGGGCATACTGGGATTAGTGGAGCATGACTGGGGCTAGGCAAAATTATGGGTTAATGGAAAGAAAGAAAGAGAAAGAAAGAAAGAAGGAAAGAAAGAAAGAAAGAAAGAGAAAGAAAGAAAGAAAAGAAAGAGAAAGAGAAAAAAGAAAGAGAAAGAAAGGAAGAGAAAGAAAGGGAGAGAGAAAGAAAGAGAAAGAAAGAAAGAAAGAAAGAAAGAAAGAAAGAAAGAAAGAAAGAAAGAAAGAAAGAAAGAAAGAGAGAGAGAAAGGGAGAAAGAAAGGAAGGAAGAATGAAAGAAGAATGAAAGAAAGAAACATCTCTATCCAAAAGAGTGACCTGGCTCTATTTGCTTCCCACCCAGTTTAAATTTTAGCTTTCCTAGGCAAGTGGAACACAATCTGCCCATCTTCCAATCCCCCCTTACACACACACGCACACACACACACACACACACTCACACACACACATACACATACTCACACACATACACACACATACACTTACACACACATTCATACACACATACACACACCCAGTCTGAGGGGAACTTTGAGGATTGCGCAAAAACATGGCCCTCAAAAGGATGCTAAATCAGGCTGGGCTTGGATCCTAGAGTGCCCAGACACCTTTTGAAGATTAAGGTCAAAGATGGCCAGGGCAGTAATTCTTGGGTAGGGTCAGAGGTCACAGGAGAGTGGTATTACAAGGCATTAATTCTGGTTTAGCTTAGAATAAGCCTTCTCAAGGGTATGTTGGATGGAGGGGGAGGAGGTGTTAATGTTGAGGCCTGTTTGGTTTCCTGAATTAAAATCCAATCATTACCATCATGGGGGATAGGGATGGGAAAGGATAATAATCAGTCCTAGTAACTATCCCATACTAATTACTTGTACCAGCTGTCAATTTTTACCCTCAGAAGACTAACCTACTTCAGTCAGACCTCATCGAGTAAGGAGCAAAGGGGCTGGAGAATCTTTGTCTTTGGCCCAAGGAATGGCCATTTTCCTGGATCCTTGGTAGATTTCTCAAGGCTGCTCCTGGGTTTGGAAGAGAACTCTCTCCCCTGGAGAATCTTGGAAGCAGTCAGGCCCACACTCTCAGACACTGTTCTCAGCACTGGTGGGCTCTGGTCTGGCTCTCTAGATCTCATCTCTCCAAGTCTTAGAGCATTGGTTCCAGAGGGTGGATTGGGGGTGGACACACACACAAAACTTCTGTAAGCAGGAGACCTAAGCCCCCCGAAGTGACTTTTTGGGATGACTATCTAGTCATCTACTTGCTCTTGGGAGATCTGGAATATTAGCTCTGGCAACATGTTGATGGTCATATGGCATCTGAGAGTGAGGTACTTCTCAGATCTCCCCCAGCCACCATGAAAGAAGGAGCTGAATGGGTAAGAGAGATGACAAGGGACATAGAGGGTCAACAACAGGAGGAAGCTGTGCTGGAGAAGCTCCTTGCATCACACCCCAACACCCCCATTTTGGATGGAAGCTTCTCTCAGCTCCCATCTCGTTCTGGCTCATCTAGTCCACAACACCTCTGTCAACACATTTACAAGTCGACAGCCCCATGGCTCCTGTACAAATCAGTGGATGCCCATGAACAAAAGAAATGTGACTTTTAATGGGTTTCGCATATCAGTTTCAGCAGAAATAATTGGAAGACAGAAGCCTAGAAGTCCATTATAAAACAGGGATCCATTTCTTGTCACTGTTGTAGATGAAAGACTGTTTTCCAGGGAATTCAGGCTTGTAGGTAGCTAGAGAAGAAAACAGATGCACTTTTTAGAGATTGAGATCTGGCTCCTAATAAGTCACCACTCCCAGCTCTGGGCACCTCATTATCTCCTGACTGGGGAGGTAATCCCCTCCAGGGGAGGCAGCAGACTGTAGTGGGGCCAGGGTTCTTTGAGTCAATGCAGAATAGCTTGGTGGTACCATTTGTGGCTCAGCCTAAGAGCAACCAGCGGGGAAAAGGGACTGTTCTTTTGAAAAGGGAGAAATTGGGGGATGTAGGGATGCTTTGGAGTAGCAGAAAGAGTGCAGGACTTGGAAGTCAGAAGATCCGACTTGCATCTAGTGAAAGCTATGGATCTCTCCTCAGTATAAGGGTTTCAAGAAACTGAAAGAAATGCTCAATTTCATCTAGAAGTAAACAGAAATAAAGATGTCACTTTTTTCCCCATTCACACTTATGGAGCCCCTGAAATCTCTCACTGGACTCTGATCATCTCTTGTTTTACTGAATTAGAACTTTCTTTCCTTTCAGACCTATCTCCAGTTATTTCTAACTTCAGACCACTTGTCACCTTCTTCTTTTGCTGTATGATTAACCCCTTTAAGGTCTATGGACTCCAGGTTAAGAACCCCTGGACAAGACAATCTCCAAGGTCCCTTTCTGGCATTGCAGCTTTTTTTTTTTAATAGTTTTTTTTTTTTTTCAGTGTTAGTGCTAAATCTTATTAACTCATTCCTGGGACTTGGGTTCAAGCCTCCAGCTCACTCTGTGACCTCGGGCAAATCTCTTTCCTTCTCAGAGCCTGGACATCTTTATCTGTAAAATGCAGATGAAAATGACTGCCCTGCATCCCTCCCAGGGCAGTTGTAGTGATCAAATGAGATCCTGGATGTCACAGTACTTTGTTATCCTATGGTACCATCTCACTTAACTCCCTAAATTCCCGAGGTTGCTTAGCAGGGCCATGGAAGAGCTCTGCTCCATTCTGCTCAGCCCAGTGTTCGCTGGTCATTTGGTACAGAGCTTCTGCCAGCATCCCTCACAAAGACAAGGAGGCAGGGGGAGGAGGAAGGAAGGGAATCTGAAGACTTGTTCTTGACTGAAGGAAATAATAATAACAACAATAGTAGCTAGCATTTATATACTATATTATTACATTTATATTATTTATGATATGCAAATTATTTATATATAATTTCATTATTTTTTGTTATATTTATATAAACATTATTATATAATGCATAAATATTATCTCATTTTATCCTCACAACAACCTTGACAGGTGGCTGCTATTAATATCCTCATTTTATAGATGAGGAAACTGAGGTAGAGGTGAAGTGACCTGCCTAGGGTCACACAGATAATAAGTACATGAAGTTGAATTTGAACTTAGATCTTTCTGCCTTCAGGTCCAGCTCCCAGGTAACCATGGGAGATACCCTACAGGAATTGGACCCTATCTACTTCCTGAGCCAATGAGGGAAGCCACGTATGCTTCCGATGTTAGGGATCCTGTCATAACCAAACCCATGTTGGACCCTGAGCAGGTTCCCTTGACTGAGAGGGAATTCTGGATATGGGAGCTCACTGCTTGGATTTCAAGGCAAACACATAGAAGTCACAACCTGGCCCTATGGCCACAGGGAAGATTTTCATATGTCTAGGCTTAGACTCATGAATGCAAGGACTTGGTGTTTATGGAAGAGCTCTGTGGGACCAAGGGGGATTTCGCTGTCATTTAGGTACCAGCATGTGAAGATCACAGGATCCTGGGATTTTAGAGCTGCTGGACCCTCACTGATCCTCTAATCCAGCCCCCCCCCCCATTTTCAGAGCTCAGCTTACATCTGTCCCATTCATGCTGTCCATGTTCCAGCCCAACCTAAAGGGACTGGTCCCTTCAGTTGGGGATTTACCCCTGGGCTTCTGAGCTCTTCCACTGGCTGTTCCCTCATAGCTGAGATGCCCTCCTTCCTCACTTTCTCCCCCTCTTCCTCTTGGAGTCTTTAAGCTACTTGAAAGGTTTCACTCATTTGCCACCCCCAACAGAAGCTGATAGCTCTAGAGTCTAGTGCTCTCTCCTTCCCCAAATTATCCTGTTACTGATCTCTGTGTGTTTGTGTGTGTATGTGTGTGTGTGTGTGTGTGTGTGTGTGTGTATGTGTTAGAATGCAGGCTCCTAGAGGGCAAGGACTAACCTGCCACACCCCCACACTCCCAACCCTAACCCTACCCCATTCTTGGTTTATTTTTGTCTTTGTATCTAGTACCTTACACACAATAGGAGCTTAATAAATGTTCTGAATTGAACTGAATTCAGAGGAGTGAACTGAGGCCAGGGATATGCCACAGGTAGGAGAGATCAGACACCCCCCCCCCCCCCGGGTTCTTTTGCTCCAAACCCGATGCTTTTTCTCCTGGATCTCACGCCGTCCTTTGATTCAGCTATAGAGGGTGAACTGTGGACTGCCCTCAGTTCTTCAGACAACATCACTTGTTCCACAAACACCAGCTTCAAAAGGTCTTCAGCCTCACAGATGTGGGTGCTTGTGGTCTCCACCAGCCTCAGTCATCACCCTCCACGCCTTAGGAGAAGGCTTCATTACTTGTTGTGGCCAAAACAAAGCTTTGTCTGAGTCCTGAGAGGTTCACTGCTCAGCCCACGCGAAGGGGCTGTGTCTGTGGAGGCTCCGCAGAGCTTGTGTTCCCTAGGCCTGGCCTTTGAGAAGCGGGGGGCCGCTGCCACACAACAAGAGGGCATCATCCTCATCACCCTCACTACTCTTATTATTATTCCCCACTTCAGCGGAGGTTAGAAGACAATAATAACAACAATAATAACTTATGTTTATGTAATGTGTTTATATAAAACATCTTACGCATATTAATTCATATGATCCTCTCCTAACCCTTGTGAGGAAGATGGAGAAGGTGGCACAGAGCATAAAGCACTCAGCCTGGAGTCAGGAAGACCCGAGTTCAAATCTGCCCTCACACACTTCCCAGCTACTCCCTAGGCAAGCCACTTAAATGTTCTGTGCCTCAGTTTCCCCATATGTAAATTGGGGATAATAATAGCACCTACCTACCAAGGTTGTTCTGAGTATCAAATGAGATTGCATTTGTAAAGCACTTTGCAAAACCTTAACATTTATACATGTGTGTATGTGTGTATACATATATACATGCACATATATACATACACACATGAATATGCATGTGTGTGTGTGTGTGTGTGTGTGTGTGTGTGTGTGATGCTAGCCGTTCATATTGGATCTGTGGTCAGAAAGGCCTGATTTCTCAGACACTCAGTAGCTGTGTGACCTTTGTTTCTTGACTGTAAAGTGGGGGTAATCATAGTACCTCCTCTCAGGGTTGTAGCGAGGATCAAATCAGGCGACAGGAAAAAAGGTACGATAGGAATGTGAACCCCCGTTTCCTCTCTGAGCCTCAGTTTTCCCAGCTACCAAATGGGAATATTAAGAGCACCTACCTCACCTGTTTGCTCCGAGGATCAGGGGAGGGAATGAGTGTGAGTACTTTGCAAACCCTGAGGCATTACATAAATGTGAATGCTTAGTAGTAGCATCACATCCCCCCATTTTCACAGGGGAGGAAGCTAAGGGTCAGGAAAGCAAAGGGACTGGCCCAAGGTCCTACAGCTTGAAGGGGCATGTCCTAGCCAGAAGGAAAGGCTCTGCTTGAATGCTGACCCAGTGATAGACTCTGCCTGGTGCAGCAGCACCACGAAATATGTATTAAGGACCTACTAAGCACAGAGTACTCTTCTAGATGCTAGGGACAATGCTGAGTTTAGGTAAGAAACAGGCCTTCCTTCAAAGAGCTTGGTCTAGAAGGAGGATGAGGTCAACACACAGAGAAGCATAATATGGGATATTGCATCATAAGTACCTAAGAGAAAACAAAGAAAAGGACTCTGGGAAATCAAAGGAGGCCTGCCCTTACTGTCCGGGGAGTGGGGGGAGGGGATTGCAGGGCAGGCTTCCAGAATAACGCAGCATGTGAACTAGGCTTTAAAGGGTAGGCAGGACATCCCCTGACAGAGAGGCGATGGACTCAGAGCATGGATTGAGACACATTTTGTCTTTGGACACAGCCAATGTTGAGAATTCGTTTTGTTTGACTATACATATTTGTGACTGAAATGTGCTTTCTCAATGGGAGAGGAAAGAAGTGGGAGAGAGAGAAGGAAGACTGTTTAGGGGGAGGGGGAGAAGGGTAGACAAGACTTCAACAAGAGTTCCGCAGGTTCGTTCAAGGGTGAGGGAAGGCATATGCAACAGTATGAGCAAAGACAAGGAGGTGAGAAAGCGCAGGTGCACAGAGGATCCAGACTAGCTGGAACTGAGCTAACAAAGAGAGGCTCATGACCACAAAGTGGACCCCACCGAGTGAAAAGCTTCCTTTGGCCATGGCAACTTGTGAATATAGAGACATGGAACGGCCGCCATATCCATCTGCTGAGGAAGGGTGCCCAGCAATGAAAACACGGCTCTTCTACGCTGACATAGTTGAGAAATTAGAATGGCCAACAGTACCCAGTTATTCTGTGTGGAGACGATAGATTAAAAACAATATTCACAATCATCTTACCTGGCCCGGGAAGACCATCCTGGTTTGCGTTGATTGGCCACCGACTGGTGCTGGACACGAATGTGGCACTGGAGATGTAATGCTTGGAGGGGCCTTCATAGTTCACAATATCATATTGGCCAGGACCTGGAACAGGAGGCTTAGGAAGAGGAGGCAGTGGGAATGCAGAGAAGGTCAGGGTGTATTTTTTCCTGTGAAAAGACAAATGAGAGATTTTATCAACACCTAAAGTCTGAGACAATACACTATGGGGTGGGGAGAAGAATTCAGGCATGGGAAGCCTGGGTTCAAATCTGGTTTCTGCCTTTCATTAAGTTGCGTGACCTTGGACAAAACAATTCCCTTCCCTGAGCCCTTGTTGCCTTATGTAAAAATGGAGATGATGTCCTGGCCTCACATCACCAGGCGGTTGTGAGGATCCAATGAGGTAATGTGCGTAAATTGCTCTGGAGAGCAAAATAATAAGAGCCCCTTATTCGTAACAGCTACTGCTATTAATTCAATCCAGCAGTCATTTATGAAGGGTCCGCTAGCCAGGTATAATACAAGGAAAAATATGACATAGTCTCTGCCTTCAGCTTAAAGTCTAGAAAGAGAGAAAATTTAGAGCCGGAGATGCCTTTTCTCAAAGCCCTTCCTAACCTAGCCCCCTCCTACCTTTCCAGTCTTCTTATACCTTACTCCCCACCACACTCCTCAATGCAGTGACCCTGACCTCCTGGCCCTTCTGAGAACAAGCCGCTCCAGCCCTGGGCTCTGGGCATTCTCTCTGGCTGTCCCCCATGCCTGGAACACCCTCCCTCCTCTGCTCTGATTACTGACTCTCTGGCCTCCTTTAAATCTCAGCTAAAATCCCACCTCCTACAGGAAGCCTTCCCCAACCCCACTTCATTCCACTGTCTTCCCTCTGTTCATTATTTCCTATTTATCCTATACATAGCTGGCTCTGTATATATTTGTTTGCATGATGTCTCCCCCATTAGATCGCAAGCTCCTTAAGGGCAGGGACCATCTTTTGCCTCTTTTTGTATCCCCAGTGTTTATCCCAGTGCCTCGAACAAAGTAAGCACTTAAGGAATTTGACCTTAATCCTATGGACAACAGGGAGTCACTGAAATTTCTTGAGCTGGGAAGCAACCTGGTCAGTAATATGCTTTAGGACAATTATTGTGGCAGAGTGCCAGAATGGATTTGAGGAAGAAAGATTGGAGGCTTAAGAGGTTAACTCTCTATTGTCCCCAGAGTTTTAGGCTCATTCATTTGGGCCAGATTCCAGGGGTCCCACCCTTACTTCCAAACCCAGTCCGCCTTGCTTTCACGCTGAGGAACCAAGGTCCTCCCGGTCTTAGCTTGGGATCCACCCACTAGTTCCTGCCCTTAACTCCTGTTTTCACAGTCCAGTTGCCGAGATTCTAAAAAAGTGGCAGTATCCTATAGATCTACAGACCTTTTCTTATACTAACTTCTCCTTTTCCAAAGCAGACAGCCTGGCACCCCAAAACTATGGAAGTATATAGGAAGTTGCAGCTGGAAGGATCCTTAAATAACAGAATGTTAAAATACAGAATGCCACAGCTGAAAAGGATCTTAAGGCACCATCTTGTCCAACACCTCCATTTTACAGATGAGGACACTGAGGCTCAGAATCATTCCCATTCTCTGCTACTCTATAGTTTCTTTCAAGCCCTTGATGATGGCTGCTCCTCATGGCCTGAGTCATCTCCCCATGACGTCTAATCTAGTTTCTTTACAGTGTCTACCTTTTCCTTCCTCATCTTTCCCTCCCAGCATTCTGGAGTTCCACGGCTGGCTTGCCCAGACATATCTCCCTCACACGGATGGCCTGGCAAACAAGTCTCTTTAAGCACCAACATTAGTATATCAAAAACTCAATTTATACTGGGATTACTCCCACCCCAACCAAGCACAGAGACTCTTATAAAAAATTTTTTTTTGAAGTTTATTTTGATTCTGAACTTAACTATAATAAAATTAATAGGGCATTTCTATATATAGACTAGAACACGAAAAAATAGGATAGAGGATTATACATAAAACTGCAGAACTTTTCTTTTTAAGCATATTAGTTCACTGTGGCTTTCAAAGCTGTCCTACTTATCTGTGTTTCTTCCTGGCTTTCCTCTTGTTCTCTTCTCATTTAAAAAAATACCCTTAAATAACTGTCTTCCTCTTTTCTTTTCTTTTCTTTTTCCTTCTTTCTGTCCTACCCTATCCTTCTCTCCCTTCATCTTACCACCCACCTTTACTCCATTGGGTGGGAGAAAGGCCTTACTTTAAATATATGTGTATATACATATATATATATACATACACACATGCATATATATGTGTATGTGTGTATATATACATATATATGTATGTGTATGTGTGTGTATATATATTCAAGTAAAATAAATTCCCACACTGGCCACAAGCACAGATACTCTCAAATCCATACACCCTTTTTTATGATTTGGGGGGAGGGTAAGGAAGAGGGTTACCATATAAAGACATATAGAAACAAATCCCAGAGCCCCTTTGCCCATTTTTCCATAGCTGTTTGAAGCCAGATTGGCCAAAGATAGCTAAGCTCACCATTGGGAACATTCGAAGCAAGCTAGTCCTGAAAACAACCTAGGGTCAGGGCAGGTGCCCATAGTGAGGATGATTCACACACAGGCATCATCTCACTGAGCCTGTCCTAGCTGGGTGCTACATGACCAGGACTTCAGAAAAAGTGGATCCACCCAAGATGGCGGATGGGCAGAAGAAAGGGAAAGAGAAGGCAGAAAAAGTCCAGGCTCCTCTGCTTGTGAACTATCCACGCTGACCCAGCAATGGCCTGTTCATCTGGAGGCACCCCAATACAGCAAAAAGACTACTGCATTAGGAGTCAGAGGCCCCGGTTTCAGATCTCAGCTCTGGTATTTTTCTACCTATGGGACACTGAACAAATCATTGATCTGTGCCTCAGTTGTACTAGATGACCTCAGAGGTCCTTTCTAGCTCCAAAGATATGAGCCTATGATGGGCGAGAGAGACAAATTTTACATAAAGCTTTATGGCCTGAGAATACATTCTATCCATGACTGAGGGCCAGATATAGGGAGTTGTTTCCCCAAAGCTCTGTAGTGAGGAAGTAACTAGAGTATGGACCACAGGGGTGGGGAACCTGCAGCCTAAAAGCCACATCTGTGAAGTCTGGATTCAGTCAGAGGGCCGCACTTGAGGACCCAGAGGGTGGCCTCGAGGACGCAGGTTCCCCAGCCCTGGACCAGGACCTCCTGGACAACAATCTCTATGTGGACACCATCTTGAGAGGCTGGTCACCTGATCAGGATGACCTCCCCAAGCACTGCCAAACAAGAGCCCATGCCAGGCATGCCCCTCTTTGAATGGAGGGGCAAACACTCTCTGAACTGCATCACAGGATTTGGAGATAGACGGTCTTCTAGCCCATCTAGGAACCAATATACCCATTTTGTAGAGGAGAAAACTGAGGCCCAGAAGAAAGCAGCTGCTTGCACAGAAGCAGCTAGGAGTAACAATGCATAAAGCACTGAGCCTGGAGTCAAGAGACACTTGGGATCACATCCAACCCTGCTCTGTGACAGTAGGCGAGGCCATTGGCCTTTTTGAATCTTGATTTCTGCATCTGTAAAATGGGCATAATACCTACAGTGCCACATTTACTGGGTTGTTGCGAGGATCACTTGAGGTCAGAGGCATGAAGTCCTTTGTGGACCTTGAAGCTCTAGAGACAAGTCAGCTGTTCTATTATTGTCCAAGGTCATACAGCAAAGAAGAACTCAGGTCTCAGGATCACCAGATCAGGGGAACTGGATCACACAGGCCTGGATCTGGCTTTCAGTCAATCCGTCTTAGGTTCTCGCTTGGCCATAATGGGCAGGCTCAAAGCTAGGAGATACCTCTATCACTAACTTGTGATCTGGGAGGGCCTTTAGAACACAGCATGTCAGAGCTGGGAAGGTCCTTAGAACACAGGATGTCAGAGCTGAGAGGGCCCTTAGAACACAGGATGTCAGAGCTGGGAGGGCCCTTAGAACACAGGATGTCAGAGCTGGGAGGGCCCTCAGAACACAGGATGTCAGAGCTGGGAGGGCCCTTAGAACACAGGATGTCAGAGCTGGGAGGGCCCTTAGAACACAGGATGTCAGAGCTGAGAGGAACCTAAGAACACAATGTCAGAGCTGGGAGGGGGGAGCCTTAGAACATGGAATGTCAGTGCTAAAAAGGCCCTTAGAACATAGAATGCCAGAGATAGAAGTCGGAATAAGACTTAGAATCCAGAATGTCAGAGCTGGGTGAGGTGGAGGGGTGGGGTGGAGGCCCTTGGAACATGGAATATCAGAGCTAGAAGAGACCTTAGAGATCATTTAGTCTAAATTCCTCACTTTACAGAGGAGGAATCTGGGGTTCTGCTCCTCTGAGCAGAGATTTATCCAAGCTGAGGATGTCCTGTGACAGTTGCCTAGCTGGCCGGCGCATCTATGCTAAAGAGAGATGTGCCTAAGGAACACAAATTCCCTTCCTCTCGCAGTGCTTTGGTTGGCAGCAGCTGGGCCCGCAGGGAGGGTGTGGTATTTTCCTGACTCGTCCTTAATCCCCGGCCTGCTCCTGTCCTGGCTTGTGGCTCCCTCCCCCTCCTCCTCCGCTGGCCATTCTCGGCTGCCCTGGGAAACTGCTGAGCCTGCAGCCTGCCCTGTCACGAAACTGACTGGATTCCTGGATGTTCCTGAAGAGCCATGAGGGAACGGTCCTGGGTGAGATCACTGTGTCCAGATCCCCATGGCCCAAGACTCCTCCCCATGGGGAGATTCCAGATCCGTTCTCGCCTCTTTGCGGAAGGAAGGATTCAAGAACAGACTGTCTAAGGGACTGGCCAGGGAACAGCACGTTTGTCAGCAGAACCTGGGGTTGACCCATACCCCCAGTACTTAGGAGCTGCATGATCGTGGGCTAGCCACAGTGGGCCTCAGTTTCCTCAGCCTCAGCTTGGGAATAATAACCCTACAACTACCTACTCCCTAGGGTTTTATGAGGAATGCAAACCCTGAAGGCCTTTCTAAATGTTAGTTATTCCTATCATTAGTGTTATGAGAAGGGGGTATGCCTGCTGCTCCCTAAATCACCCTCCCCCAGCCAGGGTGACCCTGGGGATGTTATGATT